TCTTGGACTTGTTAAGCTTCTGACATTCAATGCAATACCAAATATCGATGTTGATGTTAATAAATTTCATGTGTCATCAAAAAGATCCAAGAGAAGTACAATCAAGAGATTTCAAGAAACATTTATACCAACAGGAAGTTATGAAATTAAAGATATTGAAACTTATATAAACAAGACATTGCCTGAACTGAGTTTCACTTTAAAAGCAAACAACAATGAGTTGAAGAGTGAAATAAAATGTGATCAGTATATAAATTTTGAACCTGAAGATTCCATTGGATCATTACTTGGATTTACCAAACGTGTTCTTGAACCAAACACAACTCATAAATCTGATTTACCCGTCAAAATATTAAAAATTAACTCTCTGAGAGTCGATTGCAATATAACTACCGGATCATATATCAATGGTAAGAAGAATCACACAATCCATGGATTTTTCCCGAGGGTTCCAGCAGGATATAAAATAGTGGAAGTACCAACAAACATCATTTACCTGCCAGTCGCCGTACGAGCAATACACATCTTGAGGCTCCGCATTGTTGATCAGGTCGGGAGAATAGCAAATTTCCGTGGTGAGACTATAACGATAAGACTGCATATAAAGAGTCTGTAATGGGTATCGTATATGAGACAAAGACTGGTAATGGGTATAAAAGGATTGCAGCATGCCCAAAAATTATCAGTCATCATCCAGCTCTGAAAGTGTTAACACATCAGAACGCAGGATTAAAATTACGTGAAAAATTCATAAGATAAAAATAAGTTTTTGTTGTCTAGCTTGCGTAATACCATGGCGGAAATCTTAGATATAAAAAAATCGATCATTTTTGATGAGTCTATTGCACACTGTGAAGCTCATTTACACCTGCCATACGCATCATCAACTTTCAACAACAGTGACGAAATCAGGATTGCTGTTCAGCATCAAGATCTGTGCTTGCTACCAAGCAAGAGCACATTACATTTTTATGGAAGATTGAGGAAAACTGATGGTACTGCTGTAAGTGCTACTACAAAGATGATCAACATGGCTGTCTGCCATATGTTTGAAGAGATACGATATGAGCTCAATGGTGTAGAAATTGACAGATGTAAGAATGTTGGTATTACCAGTATTATGAAAGGATACGCTTCTTTGAGTCCAGGACAGCAAAATATTCTGGAAAATGCTGGTTGGATTGTAAATGAAGATAGTTACAAGTTGACCAATGCTAATGGCTACTTTGATGTCTCAGTACCGCTGAGTTTTATCCTAGGATTTGCTGAAAATTATCAACGAGTTATTTTGAATGCTAAGCATGAATTGATACTGATCAGATCAAATACTGATCAAAATGCTTATGTTGTTACCGCTGAGGATGAAAATGTTTCAATGACGATTCAAAAAATTGAGTGGATTGTGCCATATATAACAATGTCTGACAAGCAAAAAATCGATGTGTTGAATTACATAACCTCTGATCCAGCAATCCCAATCCGTTTCCGGACTTTGGAATTGTATGAGTATCCACTGCTACCAGCTACAACCAATCACATTTGGGCAATCAAAACAACAAATCAACTCGAGAAACCTCGTTTCGTTATCGTTGGATTTCAAACAGCAAGAAAGAATCAATCGAATCAAAATGCAAGCGAGTTTGACCACTGCAACATAAGAGATATTAAGCTTGTCTTGAACTCTCAGAGTTATCCATATGGAAATTTGAATCTCAACATTACGAATAATCAGTACGCCTTGATGTATGACATGTACACAAATTTTCAAAGTGCTTACTATGGAAAAGAAGCTGAACCCCTAATGGCTAAGAAAGATTTTCTGAATAAAGCACCTCTGTATATAATTGACTGTTCCAAGCAGAATGAGTCAATCAAGTCTGGGCCTGTGGATATACGTCTGGAATTTGAATCATCAGCACAGTTTCCAAATTAAACCACTGCTTACTGTTTAATAATTCACGGCCGAATAGTGGAATACAATCCAATCAGCAGCACTGTAAGAAAACATACTTAATGATACAGTTTGATCCCAAACCAACCATACATTACATGTATGTGTGGGATTTTGCATCCAGATAAACGAGGAAAGGTCCATGGGAACAAGCAGCAAGAGACGGAGAACGATTTCGCCGACGAATACAAGAATTAAATAAAATTATTGAACCTGTACTGAATAAACTGAATGTAATTAAAAATAATGAATAAACTTAATGTAATTAAAAATTATGAATAAACTTAATGTAATTAAAAATAGTAAATAAAGAAAAAACTTTCTTATAATTTTGTGTTTTCGAATAAATTATAAACATAACCTCAAAATCATAAGTTGAATGGTGGGGGAAAAGTTATAAAAATTGAAATGACGTCATCTACTACGCAGTTCGAAAAAATCTACAGCGTAGGTTGAATAACCAATCAAATTATTAATTAACCAAGAAAAACGATTGGCCAATAAGATTATCAAGTGGTGGGGGTAAAATCCTGAGATCGGATTATAAAAGGCTGAGATGACTTTGAAAATCATCATTCAGTCACTCCTCATCGTCGAGAGCAGTAATAATGGAGATCATTCTGGATGTTCAAGGATTCAGAGGACATGATAATCGCTTCATTGTCAAGGAATTAGCCTCGATAAATATTCAACATGATATTAATAATCTTGAAGAATTATCATACACACTATTCCAACCACCATATCACTGGAAGGTGCTACCAGCCAACTATCAACGTCTGAATACCTGGCTGATCAGAAATTATCATGGAATCGGTTGGAACGCTGGAACAACTTCATATTACAAGCTCAAAGAAGTTCATAATTATTTAACTAATAATAAAAAAATTATTTATGTTAAAGGTATCGAAAAAAAGTTATGGATCCAAAATTTAATTGATTGTACTAATAAAATTGTAATCGATCTTGAAAATTTCAATTGTCCATCTTTGAAAAGCATGAAAATACGTAATAATCATTTTTGTAATTATCATGATTGTTTATCTGATTTATGCGCTTTAGAGAATGTAAAAAATTTAAAAGATTGGTTTCTAAGCAGTCAATAAATCTAAAAATATAAATTTAATTGTGATAATTTATTCATAACCTACAAGTTAATTAAGAAATACCTAATTTATGATTGATATGTAATAATAATTATAATTCCCGTGAGATGAACATGATGCAGGACCGACACTAAGTTCAGTAATGTAGAGTTAAAAAATTACTTAATACTATAAGGTTAAATAAAAAAGCATGGTATTAATCAGAAGATTTTTTTATTTAGATAGTTCTACTATTACTATTTACATCGAGAGTAGAATTAATAAATTAGAATTTATTATATTTTCCACCATGATAACGCATCAATAAGTGGTTTGATTCTGATAAATCATTCAACATCTCCATGACACTATCGTCCTTTAATAATACTGCTGCTCGAGCTGGTAAATAGATAGCGAACCCATCCTCGATATTTGCAACAATCCTCGGTCCATATTGTGTTGAGACTTGTTTTAACCCTTTGATTTTGTACTCCTGACTGAACTCCGAATCATTCATTTTCTTGATAGGTAGGATTCCTACCAAACAATTAACCTCATTCAGCTTGGAAAGATCCATGTATGAAAGCTGTAAAATATTTAAAAATTCATTAGTAATTAATTTTAATTAATTAGTTGATTAATTAAAGTTAATTAATAAGAGAATTAAAAATTAATTAATGATTACTTACACTTAAGAGTAATAGATAGTACTCGTACTTGAATAAAATTTGTAGTCAGCAAGAGCTCGTACTTCACTGGAGACGTGTACTTCGTTTTTGTGAAGTACGCTCTCGGCGAGCTGCTTATATAGGCAGAAAATACTACCCCCACTCCTCTACCTCAAAACCGGTTTGATGACGTTATCTACTGCGCAGTAAGAAAATTCTAAAACAGAATGAGTCAACTACTGCGCAGTTACCCCCCACTCCTCTACCTCAAAACCTGTTTGATGACGTCATCTGCTACGCAACAGAAATACAACAAAGAAAACTGCGTAGTTACATGACCTTGAACCGGTTCAGACCTGTTCATAAGTAGACAGAAACCTCGATAGATGGCGTATCTTCTCGCATGTACTCCTTATACGTACAGTTTGAATATATGAATCTTTTCAGAATATAAACAATGAAATGCACCTGTGATCTAAGCAACTATTATTGATGCTGAGATCACAGGTGCATTTTTTAACAAAAATGCAGGAAATCAGAATCAAAATTTCAAATGATGGAAATCAGACTCAAAATGGCTGATATTATACTTAAAATGGCGGATTCGGAATTTAAAATCAGCGGAAAAATAGCGAATTTCGAGTTCAAAATTTCAGCTGCCAGATTCAGATATCAACCACCAGATGGCAGATAGCAGCTACCAGATAGCAGATTCAGAATTCAAAATAGCGGGAAATTACTTTTGTGTTTTAAAGATTAATTTAGAATAATGAAAATTGATTTTATATTTTAAAAATTAATTTTAGTTGGAAAGTAAATAAATTAATATTATAAAAATTGATTTTAGATCATAAATAATCAATATTCAATCATTAAGATCAAGAATATATAATAAATTATTAATTTTTTGTTTAAAAATTAATTTTAAATAAAAAATAATCGATTTCTAAAAATGAAAATTGATTTTAGACTATAATTAATGAATTTTATATTATAAATAATAAATTTAATATTATAAATATTAATTTTTAATTATCAAAATTGATTTTATATTATGAAAAATAAGTTTCTAATTTTAAAAATCAATAATATACCATAAATCATGGAACTTTCGTTTAAAAATTAATTTTAGGTTAAGTATAATCAATTTTTAATTTTGAAAATTAACTTGAGGCAGTAAATGATTAATTTTATATTATAAAAATCGATTTTATATTATCAAAATCAATTTTTCTGTAATAAAAGTTAATTTTAAACTATGTAACAGTGCATTTTAATATACTCGTGCTCGTACAGAAGCCTTGCGTACCGGCCTTCGTCAGTTTCATTTTCAGGCGCTAGGCGGTGCGGGGTCACTTGTCTTAATTTTCAGAGTGGGGAGCTTGGGGCCTACCTCGAGTCAGTTGAGGGAGTCATGAGGCAGTTGATCTTCGAGCGTACAATCCGAAGGTTCTCCAAAGAAGCAAAGGGGCAAATCATTATCCAGATGGAGCGAGGTGTATTAGCGAAGACGAGGTCGGCTCAGTTAGTGATAGCTTAGTTTAATTAGTTTTTGGTCTGCGAGCTAACTGTTTAGCATTCTAGAAGGTGTTCAGTTGTGCGTTAATCAGGCTATGGCGAAGAACAGGCCATTAATTAATTTATTCTATTTCTGGGGATTGTTCATGGAGAGGCTACCTACTAAGGACGATAAAATTTCACGGAATCGCGACGTAAGCTGGTTAATCATCGTTGTTACTATTTGGGTTTTGATTGTTATTAAATTGGTTAAATCATTTTATTAATTAACATAAAGTCGTCGCGTAGATTCAAAGAAGAAGTAGATCCGAGGGGTTCCTTGCGAGCCTTCTCCTTTATTCAATTTGATTTAATAGTTCATTGTCGAGACAATGGAAATAAATTTGCTTATTATGTTATATCTGTGCCAATAATTTCAACAACCGAGCCTCTTTCCTCTCACTTAGTAATAATTAGTTATTAATTATATTCAGTGACCGGATACAGTTTTTGGATTACCCACTCCCTGAGTGTGAGCTGGCCTAAGTAACTCGGTTCCAGAAGGCCGAGTGAATTCAACATCGATAAATTCTCCTGGTGGCGTCCAGACCATCTCTGGCGCGGAACAGGATACCTTGGTTAGGGGGTCACTTAACCTGTCAAAGTATTACTGTTATTACTATGAAAATTAATTTTAGACAATACATAGTTAAATTCATATTAAAAATATGAATAGATGGATATTTTCCATTTAAATAAAATATAAATCATAATTTTTTGAATTTAAATTAATGTAGCTCTGTTTGATTTGATGATATTTCATTGCGATTAGTCAGAATTTGTAGTATATTAGTGACTCTTTGAGGGTTGTAACGTTGCTGGTCTCGACTGTTCGTAGAGTAAATAAATTTTGCATTAGAAAATAATTTATTCAAATTTCAATTTATCAACTAATTACGAATTGAGCCAAAAAGACACGCTCGTTACACCCGGAGTGTAATCAACTCGAAGCCGTAGCTTATAAGAGTTGATGCTGCTCCAGATGCCTGTAGCTTTAGAGTTTACGGTGGACCAAACCGATAGCTTTTAAAGCTACAAATAGCTAAATTGATTTTATTCGCGTAAAGAATATGGTCTAGGGCAAATCTTGGGTGGCGATACTCGTTGAAGAGAAGGTTCAGCTCCGACACAAAACCAACCTCTACCGCATACTGCTCCGCTGATCGCTTTGTATGGAAAAATAGAGCTAAACGGTCGTCAAAATACAAATATAGAAAAATACAGCTCAAAGTAAGTTCAATACCACGTCCAATTCTTACCAATATGCCACCTGACTTACAACAGGTACTACTACCACTACGGTGTGCTTTAACGTTGTCCAGCGGTGGAAGATTCCTCGTGGCTACAGCTGGGCTAGTTACTGGATCAGGAACAGACGAATTAATCGAGGTGACCGACAATTCAAGATCTTCCTTGAACAATGAAACAATGGAACGACGCTTTCCTCAACAAAATGGCTGACTGCTTGAAACCTCTGGAGTACACGACATGCCAAGCGAAATTATATTGTATATGCGTCGTCTTATTTAATTAATTAAATTACGATATACTCCTTGTTAACTGATAATTGGAGTCGTATCGTATTATTGTAGATTGAAATGCAATATTCTCCTTGTTAACTAATAATCGGAGATGTAACGTGATTGATCAGTTTAAAATACCGTTATTTATCGAATAGACGGTGTAAATTAATAAAATACCGAACATTACGTTGTAACGCGGTGATATATAATTAATTATATTTTAACAAACATATCAATTACAGAAGTATACATTATGAAGGTTGAACAAAGACTGCCTGCACGCGGCTTCCGCGTACATAAATTAGCACTGAAAAATGGAGAGACGTCCTAGCGCCACTCTCAAACGATTTTGGTACTATTTACCGATAAAAAGTTTGTTATATTTCCTGATCTGGATGCATTTAAATCATTATTGCTTTTAATGATAGTGCTTATAAACTGATTTATATCCTCCAATGAAGCACCTAAACCATTTTTAAGTTGTTGAAATTCTTGCGTTAGAATTGAAAGACGTCCAAGAAGATAGTTCAAGTTCTTTTCGATGTCGATGGTTTTTTTTGTTATCATTGAAATCTGAAAAGTTTACATTAAGGTAGAGAATATACTTGATTCATACACTGAGAAAACAGATTATTCAAATGAAATGAGGCTCGTTAACGATTAATAAATCTCTTGTTTAAATATCACCAGAAATATTTATTTGAGACAAAGTTATAGTATATTTGAACGAAATCCAGATTTGTCTATAGTTAACCAATATTTCTGTGATGCTAAAAATCATATATTTCAACCAAATCAGATTTGTTAACTACAAATAAATGGTATGTTTGAATATACTGAAAGCAATGATTTTTAGTTTTAGGTTAGGAAAGTAGTAAAAGTAGACATATCGAATGTTTAGGGTTAAATGGGCTATTCTTTTGAATTATTAATTAAACTAAAATTAATAATGACAATAAAGTTAGCCGACCTCTAAAAATTTTTAGAATTTTTTTTATTGAAAAAATTGTTACAAAAAAATTTTATTAAAAATCTCGTTTGTAGAAAATTCGAAAAACTGTGAGTGCAATTGACAAAAAAAATTAGGAAAACGGTTGACCCTAAATGCCATCCCTGCAACTTTCCGCTCATTTCGTACTTAAGCGCTCAAAATTGCACTTACGACTTTTTTGAGCTCTTCAAGCTGAGCTCAAAAATCTGGTAACAGTCTAATAAAACACTATTTTTAACTTCCTGCTAAGAAAATGGAAAATTTTCAAAAATCGGGAGGTTATTGGTTTTACCCCGTTTTTTGAAAATCGAGTTTCCAACGGATGTTGACGTTTTGAGGTCCTAGGAAGCCTTCCCGAATGTTTCCGCAGTGATGTCCGTATGTCTGTATGTATGTGTGAATGTGTGCATGTGTGTGTGTGTGTGTGTTTTTTTTTTTTTTTTTTTTTTTTTTTTCCCCTTAGGGGGGGATCCTTTTTACGGATTCTAGGCATAGATGTTTAGCCTGGATATGTGGTGACTCGACGCAGCGTCATACTAAAACTCGACGCTAACGCCCCTACCCACTAAACCCTAAACCCCTTTCCCTTCGTTCCTCTATTCCCTCATGGAAACCGCCGTCAGGCATTACTTCGTGAAGGGAGGATCTAGCTACTGCTCTTCCTTCTGGTGGCTAAGGTGTTAACTACCTTCCTTCTATCTTCTGCTATTTGCTCTTCTTCTTTCGATGGAACGCAAGTCTTTGAGGACTTCTGTTGCAAACGTGTTGGTAGCGTTCCAGGCAGCTTCTGATGACAACATTGCTTCCACTAGTGAATTTGGTTGCATTCTCTGGTTCAGGATCCTCTCCAGCTCTTCACGCTATGGATCGAAACGAGGACATACAATGAAGACGTGCTCTGCATCTTCAGCAACTCCTGGGCAGGACGGGCACTCCGAAGAGTCATCATGCTTAAAGCGGTGTAGATACTTTCGAAAACATCCGTGTCCTGACAACATCTGGGTAAGATAGTAATTGACCTCGCCGTGATTCCGGTTAAACCAAATGTCGATCCGAGGTAATAGACAGTGCGTCCACCTACCCTTCTCTGCAGCATCCCATTGTAATTGCCATCGGCCTATGCTATTCTGCCGTTCTTCAATTCTAAGTTCTGCAGGGCTCTGTGCAGTTGACCATTTTCGTTGGTAAAGGGCCCGTCTTTCTTCTGCTAGAACTCTAAGAGGTAGGGTTCTAGCAATGACGCACACTGCTTCTCCTGATATAGTGCGGAAGGCACTAGCTACTCGTAGGGCACTCAATCGATATACTGGTCCAGCTTTTCTCCATGATTCTTGGGTCTCCAGTGCATCAGCCCAAATGGGTATTCCGTAAGTAAGCACTGATGTGACTACTGATCATAAAAGTAGCCTCCTGCTCTGTATTGGGCCTCCGATGTTAGGCATCAGCCGTGCGACACTAGCCCTCACTACTGACGCTTTGGCACTGACGTGTTCCACCTGCTGCTTGAAGTTGAGTCGAGCATCCAGCATCACTCTCAGATAACGGATAAATAGTTGTGATGTTATTTCTTGTTCTCCGACTCTCAACTTGATGGTTTCTAACGTTTTTCTACTAGTGATGAGCACTGCCTCGGTTTTATGCTTGGCTAGTTGCAAGTTCATCATGTCTATCCACAAATTCACTCGTCTGAATGTAATAATAATAATAATGTTTATTTGCCCAAATACACGGGGTACAAATAGCGGACTTCCGTTCCACTTACATAGTATTTACAGTTAACCTTACAATCTATATCTCTCATGCTAACAATATAAACTTAACCTACTAACTTAGCCATATAAAAATACTAACAATATAATTAATCATATCTACATATCCTCTTTGAGGGCCTACTTGGCGGGAAAAAGAAGGCACTGTGTGCCAAGAAAAACCGCCTTTTAACATTCACACACGCACACCTTACATTCACACCTTAATCATACCAAGGGACCTCCGTTTCCGTTGTTTTACTCTACTGTTTATCAAATAATGATCTAGTCCTCCTCCACTTTACCCCAGAGCTTCTCAATTTCAGCCAGCCAAGCCTCTCCTAATACTTCCTTCCTCATATCTTTCCACCCTTTTTCTAGTCCACACCTCGAGCAAACTTCCCAAACGTGTTCCCATGTTTCTTCCTCCAATCCACAGACTCTACACAGCCTACCTTCTCTTCCTTCCCAATATTTTCCTCCCTTCAGGACATCCCCAAGCCTAAATCTAGCAATTCTCGCCCACCTTTCCTCATTCCACCCTTTTTTAAGGTATCCTGGTAAACCTCTCCCTTTAATAAATTTATAATCGTTATTACCTCTCGCTTCGCAAACTTTCTCCCATCTTTCCATTTCCTGCCTCTTTCTTTCCTCTTTCACCAAGTCTTCTTTCCTCATTATCCCCTCCTCTCACCTCCTTTCCACCTCCTTCAAACTCCAA